TAGGCCTCCACATTCACAAAGGAAAAAGCAAGATTCTCAAATACAACACGAAGAACACCAACCCAATCACACTTGATGGGGGAACTCTGGAAGAGGTGGAAACATTCAAGTACCTGGGGAGCATCGTTGATAAACAAGGAGGATCGGATGCAGATGTAAAGGCGAGGATTGGCAAAGCAAGGGCAGCATTTCTACTATTGAAGAATACATGGAACTCAAAACAACTCTCAACCAATTTCAAGGTCAGAATCTTTAATACGAACGTCAAGACAGTCAGTCCTACTGTATGGAGCTGAAACGTGGAGAACTACTACGACCATCATCAGGAAGGTACAAGTATTTATAAATAGTTGTCTACGCAAAATACTCAACATCCATTGGCCGGATACTATCAGCAACAGCTTTCTGTGGGAAAGGACAAACCAGCTTCCAGCTGAAGAGGAAATTAGGAAAAGACGTTGGAAGTGGATCGGACATACATTGAGGAAATCACCAATGTGCATTACAAGGCAATCCCTAACTTGGAATCCGGAAGGGAAGCGGAAAAGAGGAAGGCCAAAGAACACGCTACACCGGGATATAGAAGCAGATATGAAAAGGATGAACAGCAACTGGAAAGAACTGGAAAGGAAGGCTCAGGACAGAGTTGGATGGAGAATGCTGGTGAGCGGCCTATGCTCCTCGACGAGGGGTAACAGGCCTCATATGATCAAAGCAATTACTCCCTTTGATAAATATCGATAGTGTAGTAATAAGAAGACGAAGATTATCAGAACTATGTGATGATAAATTACCGCAATACATTTCGAACAATCTAATCACGAGGTCAATACTTCATTCAAAACCTAAAAGACATGGAAACGATTGTGTTACACCCCTTTGCGTTTACCAATTTAAATGTGTATGTGTGGTCACACATACAAGGGAGTAGCAATCGTGATCTGAAGATTACGGTGGGTGAGCATGTACCAATATGGTTGCAAAAACAAATAGAATCAAACCAGTAGAGGATAAACATCCATCATCCTCCATTGCTAAGCATATAATAGAAACAGGCCATAAGATTGACCTTAACTCAGCTTTTGTGGTGTTTAAAAAAGGGTTTATACTAAGGTTTATTAAAGCCCTAATCATAAGACAATTCAATCCCCCTTTGTGTATTCGAAAACAGTTTGTTCTCTCTTTAAACCTACCCTGGTTATATTACCGCACTATACAGAGTGATGAGGTTATTATTATCAATATCTACTCTTATCCCCCCTATTTCCAGTCTAGTCGACGTTATATTTTTATATATAACTGTTCTTTACAAGTATATTATGTGTGATCAGATTGTTCGAAATGTATATTGTACTAATATATCAGTCACATAGTTCTGATAATTTTCGTCTTCTTATTACTACACTATCGAAATTCCTCATATATGTTAAGTTTGTAATTATCTTTCAGATTTTTGACACGTAAATTATTCTGTTCTTCTATAAGCTACCAATGATTATACAACCTTCATTTTACATTTAAAATCTCGGATCACTATGATCTAGACTCTTTTTTTATTCATCCATCAAGCAACTAAGAATGTAAATCATATTGTTAATGATTGACGCAAACGATCTTCTCTTCGTTGAATGCTTATTTCGTGATTCGCATTTGTTAACTAGTTAGCTACAAAACATTAGATCTCATGAGCACAATAATTATTCAATGATTCCCATTTTTATTTTCAATGGTTGTTTCAGTTAAATTCGGTTCATAAAATAAACAATCAACAATTTCAATAGGAATTCAAGTTAGACATAAACATCATCGGATGCTGAATGGTAGGTTCTGGGTTCGAATCTCGTGAGGCGAGGTTATGGATGCGCACTGCTGAGGAGTCCGACAATGGGACGAAACAGCTATCCAGTGCTTCCTGATTTTCCCTAGTGGTCTAGCTTCAATTGACTAACGCTTTCAACTATGAGAATCTCTTAATAGTTTCCCAATCGACAAACAAGATATCAATATCTAACCTATAGAGTAAAATGTAGTATTGACCATTGTTTATTATTGTAGTTATAGGTCAATAAACTATGAATAGTATAGAACATATTCAATGTAAATATGCAATTTGGATTGTGGTTAATATTTTGTTCTCTTAATGAATAGATACCTTATTTAATCACGTTGTTTCCAAATGTTTTAACCCTAAATAGTAAGGTTATAAAACTGTCAAAAATGAACATGATTAGTGTGATTTATTACAACGTGTATATATATATAAATAGGGATTATAGATACGGTAACAATTATTGTACTAGATCAATATGTTCACATTGTTACCTTTTAATGGATAATACTTGAATAATCGTTTACTGGTATGATTAGTTTAATAATAGGAATAAGTGAACAAGAAAAAGTTTAGCAGAGATGGATAGTGGCTAGCAGTGGAATCCAGGACGCGCGTTTCGTCCTATTTGGGATTCGTCAGCTGGATGTACCTGCATCTCAGAGTTGATGTTCACTCTGGGACTCGAAAAGTTTAGTTGCTATTTGATGAATTACTTTGCGTATATATATATATATATATATATATATATATATATATATATATATATATATATATATATATATATATATATATATATATATATATATAATTGGCAACCAGTTTAAACACCTGGGATACCTGTTCTTACTATTTTGATATTTTAACAACTTACCTAATTTTATTTGTTTTAATACATCATTATGGCAATTAATCGCATTCTGCGATTCTGAAAATTGTACAACTTTGCACTGTAAAGGTTATAATAGACCTAATCACAAATATCGTGGCTGCTGGCAATATCCAGCGAAAAGAATGTACATTACCCAGATGTCGATTGACTGGACTGCTAACTTCTAACTGACGATCACTCAATATTTATCGTCAAGATCGACCAAGAAATAAGTTGTGTTGAGAATTCTCTATTGTACCAAAAATACGATATTGAATAAAGCTAATAACGAGATTTTTTTCAAAGTGAGATGAACTGTGTTATAACCATACGTTTTCTTTGTTACACATATGGAACGTTAATTTACCTTAGACGAATAACTAAACTAGATCTCCTCCTAGTGTCTACTCCACAGGACTTCAACACAACTCAGATGAAGAACGTAAATATATTTCCATACCAAACAAACACAAATGGACAATCAATAATAATTATAGTAATGACAAAATATATAACTCATCTAACACCTGTCAGATTGTTTACAAGTCTGACTAAACAAAAAAACCCAATCATTATCAGTCTCACAACACATCAATCTCCTGCATTAGTGATCGAGTATTATCTTTCATTACTAACGAATCACAGTTATCATAGCATGGAACTTTTAAGTGATCCAAATGTTGATATGAATCCATATGCATTTTATTAGTCCGATCTATAATAAACTGTCATACAAATAAATGATATACATGCATGAGACAGAATGTCATGGGTTCAAAGCGCGTTAGCGGATTCGTAGATGTGCACACTAAGACAAAACAACCGTCTGGTGCTTCACGTTTTCAATTGTGGTCAAACATTAGTCGGTTCGTGATTTTAATGAAACGATATACTTTTAAATTCTATATCCTAGTCATCCAATCAAGATTTTGCTTTTCTTCTAAAACCAGAACGGTAGGAGGTTCACTTTCAGTTGATTAGGCTACATAAGATAAGACTAATTAGCTGAATAATGTATGTACGTGCACAATATAAATGCTAATATTACTGAGGAACACGGGTTTCAATCTCAAGGCAACTATTAGTTATTTCATGATTGCAGACTTATTACAATTAGCGTGAAACTAAGATCGTTTTCCCCCAAACTCTATGTTCAGTCACTCGTTGATATGTATTCACCTCAATTTGTAGAGCTGAATCCTGAAAGGAGGACCTATGTTTCGATTAATAAGTTCAGATATTTTATTTATTTAATCAGAAAAATATTGGTACAGGGAAGCACCAGATAAATATGCGCTCACAAATCTCATTCGATATGTGTGAGGGCTGTGATACTGCCCAGACTGAAGCAGGCAATTTTCTTAGGGGGCCACACCGCGAGCCTTTGACCTAAAGGTATATTCCACAAGGCAGTGGAGCATCGTGAGGAGATGCAGTCGCATGGTAGCCGGTGACCAACGGTTGGTTCTTACGCCATTTGTTCCTTCAGGATCCTGGAGTCCATGTGCACCATTGGTTTTGAATCAGGGTTTTCCAACTTTCCTAGGTGGACTTTCCATGTCCACCAATCCGGTTAAAGCACTGGACATTCGCTTTTCGTCCTCTCAATTTCGTAAACAACAGGAATGCGACGAGAAGGCAGTGAGTAGGACTTCCCTGACAGAGGCTATATACTTGTGGCCATGTGAGAGCATTTTGAGAGGGAGAGCTGACTTTCCCCACTCGCGGCCGTACCAGTTGACGTCATCTCAAGGTAAAACAGTAAGGGAAGAAAGTCGATTGTGCATCTACTCAAGGTATTTAAACCAGTTTACTATTTACTGGCGAACAATTCATTTCATATTACAAACAAATCAACTGGAGAAATTTGAATGAAATGTTGTAACTTTCGTAAATTTAATCAGATAAATCTCTTCAAATGAAATGACGATGCATGAGAGTGCCAAAGATTGCTATTTGTTGAACAGCTTAAATCATCACGGTTATTATTAACAATTCAGTCAACCAAATAGCTTTATGATAGACAACAAATACAGTTTGACTAAGTATTTAGTATTATGTGTATAAGTCACATAAAAGAAGTAATAATCCCTAATTGTGAAGGATAAGTTATCTTGATTTCGAATCCCAGCATCTTTTATATATGCCTTTATACTGTCTTTTTAAATAGTATTCCAAATGTTTAGTTTTCTTCATGGATACTGGATTCTCTTTGATGTTATTGTGCTGATCAAATATGGAAACTTAGATGAACACATATCTATGCCAGACTATGTTGATGTGTCTAGTTAACAAAAGAATAGAAAAAGTAAAACGATGTTCATGAAACATAAGAGTAAACTAATTTAGAGACTGACAGTAAATACAACAGACTGCATTAGAGATGTGCTTTATAAGCATCTAAACAAAAGTATAGGAAATACGATGGCAGATATCAATTTATAATAATAGTGTTTGGGAAAAAAGAATGTATATGAAATATACTCTATTATTCGTAATGGAAAACCAGAGTTGAACACCATCAAATTGCGACATGTAGAATAATCATCAAATCAAATTGCCTTTAACACACAATAAGGTATATAAAGAAGAATGATTAGTTAAGTTAACCAGAAAAGGATGAAAAATAGTATATCTTCAAAACACCATTATTCAAAGCGAATATAGGCTATATGAACACACAATTAACAATCTAAGCAACGACTATGTACCATGAAGTCTTCAAGTCACATCAAAAGGTATTATTATTGATAAATAGACAAAGAACTATGAATCCAAGCCCATAGATATATATGTATATATTCATAAAACTAAATTAATAGGCAAACTAAAAAAACGGGGGGGGGGTGGTAGATTAAGCAGAATGTAAGACATAGAAATGGACTAATACGTCAAAGAATAAAATAAAAACAAATTAGAAGGATAGTTTATAGTGTATCTATACTTCTCCTTATCCTCCTCCGCCTCCTCTTCCTTCTTCTACTCCTTCGTCGTCGTCATCATCATCATCATCCACAAAACACTTTTTCCAAAATGTTATTGTTTGTATAAATGAAATAAAATAAAAAACATTTTTGAGTAGGGGAAGCTACAACTAGTCAATTAATTAATTAATTGATCCATTACAAAAATGACCCGAAAGGAAAAGTTTTTTTTAGCAAGTAATAATAAGAATTATGTAATATCAATTATATACAAAACAATAATAGTAATACACTGATAATGATATGAGGGTGGTGGTGGTAGGGGGTCATTATGATAATACATTTTGTTACTAAAAAATAAATAATAACACCGGAAAGATAGAGAGAGGGGGGGGAGAGATGACTTTCTGGATAGTTTTTAACCAAATTTCTATAAACAAATAATCATTTGAATGTTATCAAAAAAAAAGACAACGGGATGAATGTAAAGTAAGATATCAATGGATGGTTTTCGTCAAAGAATCGAAATAGTTTTTGATGGAATTTTAGAAGGTACTACTTTTCATTTTGAATATGAAACACAATAAGAATTTTATCTAGATATTCTATTTGAATGGAATTCGACAGGAGGTGTTCTTGTGAATAGCAACGGTTTACTTTGACATGTTGATGTTGACTCTGATTTAGTTCGACGACGTGATTTGTTTACAAAGAAGCCAGTAGGTGGTTCAAACTGTAATGAAATTAAAATAATAGTAATAATAGAATTCAATGAGTAAAACGGTTTATTATATATATATATATATATGAACTTATTTAGTGTATTGTAATCCTCACTTACATTGACTCTGAAGTCTCCCAATGTACGATATTTTGAATCCAACAAGCTTTGTAAACGTGCATCCAACTTTACTTTGCGTTGACTATAATGGAGGAAAGCCCAAAATTTTTCTAATCCATATAAATGACCTTCATCATAGTCTTTTAGAGTTTCCTCCTTTTATTAATATTAGGTGAAGAAAATAAAAAAAATTACAAGTTAGCTGTATGAATAAAGAACAAGACTGATCAAGAGAACGAAAAAATCTGACATTTTGTAAGCTACAATGAGCAAAAGCTTCCTATTCTCATGAAGAGTTTATATAATTCATGAAATAATTAATGCGATACAAGTTTGATGCTTTTTACTTTCAAACTACGGGATATTCTATCATATATATTACGCACAACTAGTGAAAAATGGAATCGTAAGTTGCAGGTCGGTTTTCATTTAAGTCGCGAATGTAGTTATTAAATCTTAACTCTTCGCCGAACTCTGGAATACCGATAAAAAATTTTACAGAGTAACAAATCTTGCATTGTTTGATATCCGTGGCTGACTACGAATCTGTCCGGAGAGTCCCAACATACTCGTTCTCTAAATCTCTAGAGGCTCAGAAACGTCAGGAAACGTTTTATCTAGTTAGCGTTGGACAGAGGCTTTGCAAAAATATCCAGAAAATGGGGAAACATGTGTTACGGCTTCAGAATAAAATACATATCTATAATATTGCTATTATATTTAGTACGCTTCTGGAAATTTTTGGAGGCGCAAGGTCATGTATAACTTAATAAATACACTTGTTTTCCGGTACATAAACTAACAGGCAACTTGTGCCTTTTCTCTGTTATTTCAGTAGTTAATGTCATATAAACCGGCTATGAAGAGAATTTAGGCGTATTGGTGGCAAGATTTATCAGATTCATTGCTCATGATTGTAGTTTGAGATTTTCTGCAGTGCATAATTAACTTCTCTAATAATAAACAATGACAACGGGAATGTATGACCTATATAGGACGTAATACAGTGTAGTCATCTATATCGATATTGTTTTCGAACATACAAATTTTGGAATCTGGACAAAGTAATATAAAGAATACATTACCCATGTTCTCATCAGGTCTGAGGGCAAAAGTTAGAGGGGACACATAGTCTAGATTGTTTTATTTTACTGAAACAAGAGTTTCACTGTTGGACATGAGACACAATAGAAGGACAGTTTCCAGAGGTAACTATGACAAGACACATCCTTTCAAACTATGACAGTTCTATTTTATAAAATTCAGGAATATAGAGTGAAATGTTTGGTAAGCATTAACAGACAGATACCTTAAATACCTAGAAGACAAAAATTGGTCTAATTCAGCAATACCAACCTTCTGTTATAAGTGCAAAAGTAGGCACTTAAAAAGCAATAGATCAAATTTAAAAAAATGAAAAGTACTTTTTGTGAGAAGGACTAGAAGTTACAGTTTCCAATTAAACGTTTGAGTTAATACAAACCTACTACTTTGTTTATTGCACGCGAGTATTAACACTCGATATAGACAGTGGTTGATAGATAAATACATGAAACACAAACTTAACACATCACATTCATTCCATTGAAAAAAAAGTTATATATCATTATTTAGAAAGAATATACAACAAGAGAAGAGATTATTCTAACAAGATAAAAGGTAGTAGGGGGAAATCGAAAGCACTCACTTGAAAATCCTTGAAAATAGCTTTACGAAAATGACGTTCTAATCCATAACTGTAAAATCGAAACAAACACTCCAACCCATACCTCGCATTCTCTTTGGCATCGTCTAATGCGTGTCTACGAAAGTCTTTGTACATAGTTCGATTGAAGTGTTCACGCAAGAAAAATGACCAAAAACTATAAAGAGTATTCATTTCCTGAATAAAACCATACAAATATTAATGTTTATACGTCAGCGACTATATATATATATATAAAGGTCATCATTCAACATGTGATCAAATTGTGACCTATTTGATTAGGTGGTTCGAATACGCAATCACAAGTAAATCAAACAAAATTTAGGAGAGGAGAAAAACAATATCAACACAATGTATAGATCAAATAATCAGACAAAAATTTTTTTAAATGAAGACGCAGTGAGCTTTCTTACATTAATAAATTGTATAAACTATTGGAACAATACATGATATCGAAGCAATAAGCTTAGAACCATGAATTGTGAGCTTTAGGATCTTTATGCCCCCAAATGCACTGGTGCAGCTGAGAGTGGGGAGAGTCAGTTCTTCCTCACCAAATGCTCTCACATGGCCACACGAATATGTAGGCGTATGAATCAATCGGCTACCATGGGATTGCATCTCCTCACGATGCTCCACTGGCTTTTGAATCAGATGTTTAGGTCAAAAGCTCCGGGTGTGGCCCCCTAAGAAATCACCTGCTTCAGTCTGGGCACCTGGGCAGTATCACAGCCCTCACACAAACCAAATGAGATTTGTGAGCGCATATTTATCTGGTGCTTCCCTGTGTTTAAATAACAAATAATAATAATAATTTGGATAACAGACTGTTTCGCAATAATATATAGTGGTGAAGTATGACCCATAAAAGCAGAAGAGAATTGATGGTCGCAGTTCTTGATTATAGGTGTCTCCGAAGCATTGATCGCGTATCGTCTAATGACCGAGTGGGGTCAGAAAGAATATGATGCAAATGTAGCAAATCGGTTGATTAAATTGTTAAATGGTTAAAAACTGAAGTGATTAGGATGTGTTGTGCATATTTAAACAATGCCTAAGTCGATAGGTAGTATTATTTGGGTTTAGGAGCAGGTTGAAAGGTAACTAAATGTAGCCAACTTGGTCAAGATATGCATATGATAACCTCGATGAGTGGTTGTAGATGTTGGGTGACATGAATCAGAATTATTTACAGTGATGCAGATAGATTAACTCTATCTGCTACTTGATCTTGAGCATTCTTCAACACATATTTTTTGTTCTATCTCGAAGAATTTCATCTTTTAATGTTTAGTTTTCCTCACTAGTATTGCTAATTCAACTATTTTGACTCCTTTGATATGCATCTCGTCAACTTTACCTTGCGCTACTTTGGTATGGTAGAGTATTGGGGATGTCAAATCCCCAGAACTTACTTGGTAAATGGCTTAGTTTTGTAATTTTATTTTGGAAATTTGAATTTAGCTGTTTTCGCGCCAAACGCGCTCTTTCTACCTTCACGTCATATTTCCCACTTGTAAACTATCTTAAACGCTATTGGTCCATTGTTTCTTTGTGTGTGCTATTTACTAATGATGCTCAAGGACAAATTGTTGCTGTATAAATGCGCTTGGCTTTTTCCATTATTCGATTGCTTGTACTCGGCTGCTTACGGAATACATATATTTTCCCCTACTTGCCTTGGACTTTTTCATCTGGGACAACAGATTAGAATAGCTTATCGTGTCATTGGCTTTCGTTCGTTACCGCGGAATCGATTTAGTTCAAGCATATCAGAGTTAACGCATGTTTGTGTCACGCTGAATGTTGATTATGAAGGACTGACATCGTAAGGTTGTATGTGATCAGAGTACTTTAACTTCAGCCTCATTCACTACGAATACTGATATCCTGTTTCATGAAATATATACTTAAAAATCAGCCACACGAGTAACCGGTAAAAACAACAATAACATGATAATGAACAATGTACCTGTGATTGACCTTTCCCTTTAGCTTCTCGATCTTTGAGACATTTGGAACGAAACTGGTTGTAGGCATGAAATGTGAAACCCCCCTGTTGAAGATGATGTGGGTGATGAGCAGCTGGAAATCCTCCACTTCATGGAAAGCAAGTAAAATATAAGGAGAGTCAATACTTGATGATCTAGGAATGGCAAATTCAGAAAGATTTACGAAGTTTCAGCAACACCATGGAGTAGTGCCTTAATGACGTTGAAACATTTGTGTAGTGTTAGGTTGTAGATATGATCCTAAAACATTTACAGAGACCCGGGCAGCCTTACAGTCTTATTACTTGTCACGTGGACTGCGATTGGCTGTTTTCAAAGGAATTATCGTTTCATTTTCCAAAAACAGTGTTAAGAATAGTGAAAATTTGATTCTAAATATGTATGATTGTTTAGTTCATACTGTAGTTCAATTTTACAGATGCCAAGGTGTACTATAACCCATGTCACTTTTATAAACAATCAAAAATCCTAATGATAAATTTAATGATAACTCAACAAACTTCGAAAAGTTCTTACATTAAAGGAATCATTTAAGACAAACGAATAAATCATTTTACCTTAGGGAGACATCTAAATGGGTACGAGCAGCAGAAACTGGGCGAAAAAGAAACCCAACATGTTTTTTCTTGCTAGATGAGTTATCTGTTTCCGTAGTTGCAGGATGGTCGCGTTGCTAAAATTATATGCAATGAAAATAACACAATAATACATGAACAAACAGTTCAACTTAACAAATTCGATCAATAAAACAACAGGAAAAAATATAGTGCACGCAGTGTCGAGCCACCTAGACTAGTGGTCACATTGCAACTTGATCGATAGCATTCGATCAACACTAAGACGGACTTGACACGCACGACATTGATCACGAACCACCCAGTGATCAATCAATTGTGATTACAGCTCAGTTCTACAGGAGGTCGGTCGCGATCCGAATAGCTCCGTGGTAACGTCTCTGACTGTGAAGCTGAGTGACACGGGATCGAATCTGTCAGGGAACACCAGTTCCCTCAAGATTACAGTTACACCTTGCTGACGAGTGCCAAGTAGCACGAAACACGGGTCCAGGGTTTTCTGTTGACCACCTACAACCACCATCTTATCTCAATATATAGTGCACGCAGTATCGAGCCACCTAAACTAGTGACCACATTGCAACTTGATCGATAGTATTCGATCAGCACTAAGACGGACTTGACATGCATGGCATTGATCACCACCCGGTGAACAGAAAAAAACTCTTTTCAGTATAGTGATGATTCATTTTAGGTTAGTAGCATGATAATTGGAAAACTTTTGCAAAAGGTAAACATAATGTTAAATAAAAACTTACTGTATAATCGGTTGACTCATTTGTTTTTAAGTCATAGTCACTGGAAACGGGGAAAAATCCAATAGAACGACCTTTAAGGTCGTATTTCATGTCAGAAAATGATAGATAACTCTGATCATAATTTAGGAAAGACGGTAATGGTTGACATACAGGAATCTGAGGAAATAAATTGTCTACCGGAGAAACAAAAGGTATAGCGTTTATTTGAGGAATGTAATACATTGGAGTTGAGGGTGCTACAAACGGAGATCGACCAAGAGTCGGTAATATAAGTCCAGTTTGTGGATGCAAAGCGGTAGCTGTCGGTATTACAGTATACGTAACTGAACCAGGAATTGAGGGATGCACGTATGGCAAACAGGATTCTATAGTGAATTGATAGAACAGATAGAAAAAATATTGCTTTCATCAAGCATTAAATTCGGTGGAACAAAAAACATGATTCTCTTAAATGTGCCTACAAATACACAAGGGAATAGAATGTATGAAAGCTTAAGATGGCATTGTAACTTTCACTAAAGTGGATGAGTAAAGACAACAATTTTTGATGTAACTTTTGAGAACTGCAAATAAACACTGATTTTCTACACTACTAAACATTCACTATCGTGTAGCCACATGAACAGAAACCATAGGAAGACATAGGATATCTGCCCTAAAATGGTGTTTAATATCTGTAACAACTGTATTCCAGAACGTTCAATGTCAAAGTAAATAATTAATGAACATAAATGAAACGAAGGGACAAACCGATCTCAAAGTTGAACTCTTATATCACAATACAAAGAAATATTGATTAAGTGACATTGAATTACCTGAATAAAGTGGATTTGATGACACTGGAACAGAGGAGTGCACTGAAACTTCAGAGACAGGTATATCAAGCTGTACAAGAGAACTATTACAACAGATAGGGGTGGTTGGGGTACAGGAAGTGGAAAATATTTCTGTACATGTGGAAGCCTCGTCTTTGATAACGCTGGCTGGATTGGATTCCTATTTTTATTAAAAAAAAGAAAGTTATCAACTAGTTATTAATGAAAAAAAATATTAGTCAACGGTCAGGATTATGAAAGGATGGGAAATACAGTATAGACAAATAGTAACATAAGTACTAAAACTAATTTATTATTCTAGAAGGAAAAAAATAGCGATACAATTTAACATACTGTGATATTCGATTCAGTATGAACAGTGGATTCTTCAATAGCTTTGCAAAGGTCATCAATAACAGTTTCATCAGATTCGCCAGCAGAGCTATGGAATGTAAAACAGATAAACGAAAGTTTTAGACTTAAATACAAGGTGTCAAATTTCGTGTACAGTTTGCATTATAATCAAGTTTATTTCGATAGATCAACTCTACCTGCCAAAATGTTATTTGAATTGTGGGGAAGACCTGTATATGTTTCTGTAAGAGCAACTTACTGTTGGAAAAAATTCCTAGAATTTAAATCGTTATTATACAATAAGTGGCTAGTTGCTATGTATCTAAGCACTTAAGTGGTAGTTCATTTGAACGCTTTCTACAATTAATGAACTTAGTAATTTTCTGAGATGATAGCTTGAATGAAGTAAATCAAATGTGTGTAATTGAGATCATAATCATTGTTGGCAAAGATCACAACTAATCATATATATATATATGAACAGAAATATTTACAGTCAATTAAAACGAATATAGAAAATACTAGATAAGGGAAAATATTTTTTTACCTGTTGGTAACGGAAGTGAATTTTGAAGGTTTCGAACTCTCATCCTTTAAATTATCATCCAAGTTACTGCAACTAGGTGGGGAAGGATCATGAGATGTGTTTGGAGCAATCACTAATAAACAAGAAAGCATAGAATCGTCCAAATCATCATCCGAGTTAGTGGATGATGTTCTTGTTCGGCACTATAAAAATCAAGTAAAAGTTACAATTAGCTAGTAATAATTAGGTTATGCATAGAAATGACAGTTGATGAATTACTTGTTCAGTGTTGGATATGAATTCGGAAATCTTGTTTGACTTTTGTCACTTGTAGGATAAGGGACATGTCCGTCTCCCAACCAAAAAGAGAGTAAACTGAGCAAGTCTGCTCTGATTTATTCAATGGCGATGAAGCACAGCCCCAAATGCCCAAGTACGGCCAAGAGTGAGGAGTCCGCCCTTCCTATCGAAATGCTATCATATGGCCATGCGAATATATAGCCTCTGTCAAGGAAGTCCTACTCACTGCCTTCTGGCGGCATCGGTGTTGTTTACGAAAACGAGAGGACGAAAAGCGAATGTCCGGCGCGTTAACCGGGTTGGTGAAGACAGAAAGTCCACCTAGGAAAGTTGGAAAACCCTGATTCCAAACTAATTGTGTACATGGGATCCAGTATCCTGAGGGAACAAATGGCGTATGAATCAATCGTTGGTCACCGGCTACCGTGGAACTGCATCTCCTTACGATGCTCTACTGCATCGTGGATGAGATCTTTAGGTCAAAGGCTCCAGGCGAGGTCCCCTAAGAAAACCACCTGATTCAGTTTGAGCACCCGGGTAGTATCCAAGCCCTCACACAAATCAAATGAGATTTGTGTGGCGCATATGTATATGATGTCCCTTTGTACCAATATTTGTGTTTAAATAAATAAATACAGCTTTAGTCAGTCAGCTACAATGTAGGACGAGGCATATATATGCATCGGTATAAGTTGTCATACCTCATCAACACAATGAGATGAACACCAGATTCATAGAATTAGTTACTTCAATTGTAGTAATATATAAAAGAAGGATTGCATATAAGGATATGAAACATGGGAAAACGAATTATTTCGTAGAAAGAAAAGTATAAAGTAGTTTTAATCTCAGGGTTTTAGGGAATCCAAAGTGTGTACACAGCGACGCCATTGTGATCGATTTTAAGTCATGTCACACAGAATCTCCAACCATTGGTTATTATGGTCACGCGGACCCGATCACGTAGTTTGCATCTACCCACATCGCTCAGACTAGAAGTTAGTGACTTCAAGCACTGATGCCACGTTTTGGTTTGGCCGCCTCTAACTCTCTTCCAATCATCTCCAAGACTATCGTTGCAGGACGCCGACAAGCATTCCTGTGTTCTGAAACTTGACGAATAGTGAATATGTGGTCGATGCAGCCACGACCAGGTCTGAAACCAGCCTGATTTTCTCGTGTTTGCAGTTCACGAGTCTTAGTTAGGCGCCCATAATTATTGAGGCTAATATTTTAGATGCTATGTTGGTCATCGCAGGATGATTTCGGCCCCTTGCGATTGTGACCAGTCGCATGGGATTACGTCCAACTCCCAGATTTTAGCCAACCTATTAGTCAACCCAATAGCTAAAATTGGACCACCACATTGAAAAACAACTGGAGCCAATCCATCTGGACCAGTCGCTCTTCCTCGTTTTAGATAAGTTATAACCTTTTGAACTTCAACTAGAGCCGGGGACTTACTCAAAGTTTCCATTCAGACAGTCCGGGAATTGTGGGTAACTGTTGAGTAGCTGAAGGCCAGCTAAACTATTCTCTAAAGTGTTCCGCCCACTGTTCTAAACGTCTGGGCTGACAGAAGATAAAAGTTTCGACTTTTTTCGAGATTGTCACGCTTATTATTACTTTATTATAATCATCATTATTATTATTATTAACTGTATTCAATATTATATTTTGGTACAATATTGAATTCTCAGCACGAGGTATTTCAGCCAGTTTCTCTTTACAAAAAAAAACTAGGTGAAAAAATCTGAGTCTGTATAACTTATCAATTTTGAGACATGCTTAAGAATACAGGTTATTGACTAGGTTAACTCTAACAACCTGTTCGTCACAGAATATATTTGCTAGGTAAGGTATTACAGAACTTTTATAGATTTGCTTGCGTGCATGGATTTTAATGTATTGACATCCCGTTATACCAGAAGATACACAAGGATAAAGATATGGATAGATGGTTAGTATGTGATAACACCTGCCAGGAGTTTGCAAGACTTAGGACATCTATCCACAACTATATTAATAACGACCTCAAAAGATTCACCACACACCTTGCTAATTGCTTTCAGAACTCTCCACAGTACAGCAAAGCCTTTTCTCAAAAGCCCAGGATAGTATAATGGAGAAAAGTAAAGAATAATAGGTAATATGCAGGAGTTGATAAATTTTAAGAGTAAATAGCAAGTAATCCCAAATACATGCAGTCACTTTATGTAGTAAGACTTCTTAATTCCAATTTTTTTATTAGTCTGAATAGTTGTCTAGTGTTACTCCCAGCCGCTGCCTTTTCTATCTCTTTTGTTCTCGTTGCCTGCCACTGCTCATGATCGTCCCACTGTTCAATTCCAATGGGTCTACTTTGTGTGGTATTTCGGCATCCAGTAAGGAGCAAGCAAATGGGTGTTCGTATTAGAGCATGATCAGAGTTCAAACATGTATTCCAGAACGAGCGACAATCTTCTTTCGAGCCTCTACAATGATAACTGGTGGCAATATGGTTTATTTGAGTCCATTGTTGGTTTGGTGCAGGTGGTCTCCATGTCGGACGATTTCTCTCCTTATGGTAAAAATTAGTGCTTCCTAAAAATAAACGATTGTCTGAGCATAGTTGCAACGATCACCATTATCTGTTTGCTGAGTTGGGATACTAAAATACCCACTTAAATGTCTCTCTGTTTAGTTTTAGCTGCCTCATGGGGCATTAAGGTCACCCGCTACGTGTACTATGTCTGAGCGCTTAGCTTTCTGAAGAAGCTCAGAGAGCTTTTTGTAAAAGTCATCATCCACTTTATAATGGCTGCAGTCAGTGGGAGCGTAGGCAGAAACGACGAAAAGGCAACGACATGTGTCCCTAACCTTCCGACTTTTACGTAGCCATTTAGCTGGACAGCACACAGGCGACTGTTAACGGGGATCCATTCTAGTAGTGCTTGTTCTGCCCTCGTACTGAGTGCTATGCCTACTCCCGCAAGTTCACAAGAATTAGGCAACGGGGTGCCAGATACACGGAGGGTGTATTTCGTTGGCTGTCCATTTTGGCGAGGTGAGGGCAAGTGAATGATCACACTAGGATCCTGTGTGTTCCAAAGACACAGCGTATATCAATAGTAAGGGATTCTAGGGTTTTAGCCAAAGAGGCCTGGTGGCCGATTTTACATAGAGTGCGTACGTTGAAGGCTCGAATGTGTAGACCTGAGACAGTGTTTCGCGCACTAGAATCGTTGGCCATGGTGACACTTGAGGAGGAAACCGAAAGAGGAAGTTCGGTGTTGAAAGTTGAGGTAGAAGGAATAGTGGGAATAGTGTTAGCTTCGTTCCTTAAAGGACCTTACCGCCGGAGACGGATATCCGTGGGATAAGGCGAGGTATATATTTTAACAGTCGATCTTCTCCAACCCCACCCCTCCTTGTGGGAAGGCAGCATCGCTGTTATGCTGGTTGTCTGAAGGAAGTACTTTACTGCCGTCTCACCTCTGTAAGGTCAGCAATACGAATTCGACGTCGGACACTGTGTTTACCAATCTTTAACCGACCTCTCTGGCACGGTAAGACCTTGAGGAACGACTGTTCCAGCCAGTATAGCTCGATTGGTCCATCACGATAGGAAAGCCTGACAACCACGTGTGATAAGGAATTAAACTTCTATCAAGAAAGTGAAATACTGGTATAATACAATAAGACAAAAGATAAAGTGAACCTTCAAAAACGTTTAAGATATGAAATTATAAATTAACTGACATTTTGATTTGAAACTTACATGATAAATAGAAGAGTATTTCTCACATTCGGAAAAACTTGATCGGGTACGTTTCGATACCGAAGAATGAGGCGGTAGATTACTATAGACAGAACGTAATTCGTTTGAAAAGGAAAAGTTTAAATCCTCTTGCGTTGAGGTGATGGGGGTGGCATCTGACTTTGTCGCGGATTCGAGGGATGATTCTATGCATAAAATGTAAACAAATAGCACATACTCAATCAGTGTTTCAGGTGAGTTTGCAGGATTACAAAAAACTTGTCTGATTGAAGCTTGGACATTGATTATTTTTACAAAAACAATGGTTGCACACGAGTTATACTACAGATTTTATCACCATTAAAACTTAATTTTACGCAAGCTAATTTTGCTAAAATTTAGTAAAGCACAACTTTATTGGAAATCTGAATGGAATGCCGGAGGTCTTTATTAGGAAGTTGAATTTACATCAGTCATACAGTTAAAATATACAAATTACGCGAAGTGATACTGTTTCAGTCTCTTCACACTTACTTAATTTGTTCATTTCACTAACTAGCTAAGCAGAGAAAAATGTTTGGTAGTTCACCATGCAACTATTAATATGGTCGGAATAACTTGAGAAACAGCACAACTTGCCCGAAGACAAATGGTTTATTACTTGGTTATTCATCAGGTCTTAATTTAGTAGCCCGCCGTGCCTGCTTCGGTTTGGGAGGCCAGGTATATAAACATGTACTTGGTGAGTCACATTATACTCTTTCGTAACTATTTGGAATGAAATCAGACAGACAAAATTAGCAAACAACAAAAGATGAAAAATCAGCAAGATAAGGAGGGTTAAATGATGATACCCATTTGGACAACAAACTTCTCAGTAAGAAAAACGAACTACCGATAAATAGGAGACACATTTGCAGCTATGTGACGGACATTGAAACATTTCATGCTATACTACATGTAGAATGTTGAATAAAGTTATGAATATTATTTCAAAGATCGAAAGAATTATATCGCTTTTTATGTATATGGCATACTCAGGTATTTCCCGTCGCTAAGGAAACTTACATCTGGACTGGCATATAACGGAAGAAGCAAAGCTTTTTATGCTAAGAATTTTAGAGCCCGAATGTTCAACTTTTAAGAAAAAAGTGAATTTCTTTCGATGTGAATGTTTTTGCCTTGTTTTTACTTTAAAATTAATGACAAACTGTTACGTAGTGAGGTAGTTGATAAAAGAGAGGCGAACGACTAAGACAATCATCAACATACGGTTTGGAATAGATGTGCTAAACCACAATAGCCAGATGAGACGATATTAACAAAAGACCGGAATAATACAATAGCAATGACAAAATGAAAGAATAAAACTTGGGCATGTGACCTAATAAGACAGTGGAAAGGTATACATGAACGAAGATTTGTTGCACAGCTTACACGCTCATTGATTGGCACACACCTCGCCTAAAACACGTGACACAAGTTATCAAAGGTTAACCAAGCTTTTTGAATTTGTGTCGAGATTCTGTCAGACATCAACCCATCCGGGTGATGAGACTTCTAAGTGACGTGAGCAACGCATTGTCATAGGCTGTGGCTCGAATAAATATTTGAGTAGAGAATCTTCACAAGGTTTACATACTTAAATATCATTTTCGATGAAAAACACTTTACGTAACATGTTGGTCAACAGAATCAACATGTTTTAATCTTAAGAAATGTCACTGTGGTCCGGCGGGTTTAGTAAGCTCATGTCCTAAAACTTAATGAAGACTGAATATCAAGCCAACAAAATTGCGACTAAACCTAAAACCAGCTTGGTTTATTCGCGTTCGTTTTTCACGAGCGTCGGAAGATTATTAAATCTAACATCTTAGACACTATATTGCTTAAACTGATTTGTATTCGGCTATTGCAAGGGGATTTTTATCCTTATAGACTGGGAAAACTTGTGATCGAAACCAGTCATAAAAGTTTATAACTAGTTTCCAGACTTCAGCTGAGATATCAGTTAACTTTCAAAACTGATCCACCGACCCTAGAAATATCTCGCATTGATTCATCAGAGCCTGCTGTTCTCCCTCGTTTTAGATTACTCATAGCCTCTTTAATTTATAAATTGTAGGGCATGCCGACTCACCATTTACGTTGATTGAGGATAGAAAGTGATCAAAAGCTAGGTTGAACTGTAAAATAGTGTCCTATCTATCTAATCTCCTAGGTTGAGCCAATAATGGCCACACCTTTTTACAAGATAGTCTCATACACGCCTACCAACAGGTAGTTACTTAGTGTTATATATGGCCACTGGCTTTTTTATATCTTTTTCTTCCAAAGGTCCATCACTGATTATAATTCTTGAGTAAACTTCTTGTTGGTTTAAGTTGCCATCACTTTACAATGTTCAACATAGCTGTCGGAGTGAGTTTTTGAGCCTTTAATAACTCGGTCGACGCCGCCGAAATCCACTGGTTTTTTCTAACCTCTGCATTTACGACTAATTGGATATCATTTTACGCATCTTTGGGATGAACTGCTTAGCTGATTATTTTCATCTTCAAACTGTTATCTAAAGGGTCTTCCTTAAGTGGTATCCAATAAAAAGCATAAGAATGAGAGCTCTTACTAGGGTACGACCGGAGTTCAAGCACGTACCCCAGTAAGAGCAGCAGTCGACCTTCCCTAGCGATGGATGATGGCGATATTACCAGGTTCCACTGCTTTTTCCTTATTTTTGAAGTTTGTACCTGATAGGAATAATTGGTTGTCGGATCAAAATTGCGGTGGATGATCAACGTCATCTGTTTGCTGGACGCATCTCAAGTTTTCCAGACTGACAGTTTACGGACATAAAAATAACTTGCCACATCTGAGCCCCTGGCTTTTTGAAGATCACAAAGTTTTCTGAAGACTTGCGTTTCACTCCATCTGAGCTACGGTTAGTGGTAACATGGGTAGAAACTATGGAGAAGCAACGACGTGTCCCCAACTTTAAGATTTATTATTGAAACTTTAGACGGACAGCACACGAGCGACGGCTGATAAAAATATAATCGTGCCTGGTCCTACGTTGTAGCTAACTGACTGAGCTTCCGGACTTAGTGCTTTACCTAAACTGGTAAGATCACAAGAAGTTGATGTCGTGTTGCCAGATATACAGAGGATACACCACGGTTATCCATACCAACTAGGTGGGGACAGGTGAATGATTATGTTGGAGTGCCGTATGGGTATTACAGAGACACAGTAGGTATTCATGAAACAAGATTCCAGAGTTTAAGTTAGTCGCGCCTGTTGTTCGATTTGACATGGGTTTGTACATCAAAAGCTCTAAGACCTAGGTTGAAGCGCGGTTTCAAGAGGCCTGGGATGGCATTTTGCGAACTTGAATTGTCAGCATTGATGGGAGATGTTGAGGAAGTGAAGAAGGTTGGGAGTATAAGCAATATTTGAAGATGGGGTCTAAATATAAACGAGGTGACCTCGCATGCTGTATGGCGGCAGTTATCACTTTTCACTAATTCCGTGGAAATGTTTCTTCTTGGGGGGCCTGAAAGAGAAACAGTATTAGTGTAGGTTTTAGCGACCATAGAGTGTTATTACAGAGCCCAAGGTCTAGAAGATAATAAATGAATCTACAAATTTCACGCAGTACATTTATAGAGCCGTTTAAACAGTATGACTAGAAGTTTGAAGATAGTTTTTTTTGGAATTAAAGAACAAATTATTTTGTTTATTCTCACCTGTTTGGTCTGTGTTTGTCATTGGTTGGGATGGGATGAATTCGGGAGCATCTGGGTTAAGAACTGTGTTGTTCTTAAAGCTGATTCGAAAATTTTCATTCGAGACAGGAGGAAGGGGCCAAATTGATGGATTGTTTTTGCATCGGACACGAGCTTTAGGGACATCCACATCTAATAACGGACTAACTCTAATTGCCTAATTTTGAGAGGGAAACGGAAAGCAATATCTTGAATTATAATCAATAAAAAACTACTCAGATTCAAGACAATGCTATTGCTGTAACTTTTTGGTGGCGTTTCATATTCTCTCCTTGAACTGTATTCTCGATACCTACTCTTTTCTATCACTCTTAATACTGTTACTAACTCTACTACTCTGGTATTTCTCCTGACAATTTCATTTCGATGTGTTAACATGTGGCAACTTGACCGACATACATATACGCTATGTTTTATATTCAGTATGACTAACTGTTCTGGTTTTAAACAACTGAGAAGACTATTGATTTTAAATCTAAAAGAATGAGACGCGAATGGCCAAACAGTAATGTTTTTCATTTATAGCACTATTATTTATACTATCTTGTTTTTAATAAAGTTGGGAGGTCAAACTGTGGACGCTTCTCTGCCTAGTACTGTTAGAGCAAATAGGTATTAAAAGCCGATAACATATACTCCTGGTTGACTACTAAGTTTGCTGTATTTACGGTATATTATTTGATTTGTTCACGGATCTGAAACACGGTGCAGATCAGGAGTACTTTAGTTCCGTTATAACCACTGCCTAATTTGGTGAATGCGTTTGTATCATTCAGAAACACTGGAAAAGGGATAAAAGAATACGAAAATCAATGCAATTCACCTCAAGAACTTAATCAGGAAAACGTTACAGCTAGAGTGATCATTCCTATTTTAAATGATTTTCTGCATTGATTCAGAAAGATGAGGAATAGTTTAGCTCCACACTATCATTCACTAAATTATGAATAGGAAGGTATTAAAGAACACCGATGAAATTTAAAGGACTGAGTGGTAAATTATTGATCAACCCAACTAAAAGAAATAAAATTGAGTACATACCTCTAAAATATTATTCAGATCTGTACATAATGAGGCCACACGATTAAACTTAGCAATTACATTGACATCAACCCATCCATCAGAATCCATTTGCCGACGAAGATATACGTCTCTGGCCAAGTTATCTGGACTAAAGTAAAATTCAACTTGATGCAATATTTGATGGCGTATTAAAATTGTGGGATCACTACTCGACGATGCAAGGAAACACAAACTAGCAGGTTGGGCGATGGTTGTTCCCGGAAATAAGGAAGAAAAAACATTGTTCAGGTCACTACCTAAAGGTGGACTGAAAACATGAGGGGCCATATGGTTAGATTCTGATGAATCAGTTGACCGTTGTTGCGACAGACCTGAAACACCAACTGATGATGAATGCGATGTTTGACAGGTAACCGAATAATCGTAAACAGGATCAGAAACTCCTGATGACGCTGGTGCAGATAAAGGTCCTGTCGGATATATCATCAAGAAGGGATACCCAACAGCTGAAACTGGAAAGAAATCGCAAACAAATATACTTCAAGATAGAAGTTTTTGCTTTCATTACTTGTGTTATTATGGAGAACAAACGAGTAATAACTAGAGAACAGAAATGTAAGGCCTGGGGCAACACTAACAGACCAACATTTTATCAGAAGAAACTAAAGGGAAAACAAGCAGTAGTTATAGTGAGGCATTACGAGGTAATGAATATATTTAAGACAAGAGAATAGAACAGCATGTGTATGATCTAGACAATAAAAAAGTGCAGATGCACTGATCATTACCAGTTTATTTAAACTGCTAGTTTCAAGTGCGTTAACAAAAAGCCCATTCGGAATTCTTATCTCGTTTGGATGCCATTGACGTTTCACTAAACACAAGAGCTGAGGCAATACTAACTGATTAGATCCGCATTAACGGTCGATTATGTGCTCTCAGATTAGAAGGCTCCATCAAAGTGAAATCAGTGAGAAACGATGTCTTTTAGCCATCGTCTACGCATCGATAGATTGTAGTCCGAATCGCAAAGAACCATTGGTCCACCTAATCGGTGTGCGAAAGTACCACCTTCGCTAACCCGTCATTTTAAATTGCCCCCAAATGCCCTGGAACGGCCGAGAGAGAGAGAGGGTGAGCCCACTCTCCCTCTCAAAATGCTCTCACATGGCCAGCGAATATATAGCCTCTGTCAGGGAAGTCCTACTCACTGCCTTCTCCTGGCACCACTGTTGTTTACGAAATTGAGAGGACGAAAAGCGAATGTCCGGCGCTTTAACCGGGTTGGTGGACACGGAAAGTCCACCTAGGGGAGTTCAAAAACCCTGATTCCGAACCAATGGTGCACATGGGCTCCAGGATCTTGATGAAACGAATGGCGTATGAACCTATTGTTGGTCACCGGCTACCATGGGACTGCATCTCCTCACGATGCTCCACTGCCTTGTGGAATAGACCTTTAGGTTAAAGGCTCCGGGTGTGGTCCCCTAAGAAAACCACCCGCTTGAGTTTGGGCACCCCGGTAGTATCACAGCCCACACATAAATAAATAAGTGTGGCGCATATGTATCTGGTGCCCTTTTGTACCAATATTTATGTGTTTAAATAAATAAATAATAAAGTCCGAATCCAATCAAGAATGAGTCCTATCATCAAGAAAGGATCAAAATTATCATGTAATAACCATAGGGGAATTAGTTTAACTGATGCAGAATTTAAAATACTAAAATCAATAATTATCCGATGCCTAACGAGGACTCGTAAACTCCTCGTAATATACCGAAGAGATTTGTCTCCACTTAGTTTAAAGCCTTGACAAGATAGGCTGTCAGTCACAACATAGAACTTCGTAAGTACGTTTATTAGTACGAGTTGCCATACCACATTAGCAGAGATCCAGTTGTCGATTCAAATCCCATAATGGTAGAAGTAGTAAGAGTATAAACAGTAATAGGAAGGATTAGGGTTTAAAGATGTTATTCAAGGAGTATATTCATGTGAAATAAATTCGGAAAAAGAAAAAAGAAAGGGATATGAAGAATTCAGAAGATTAGAATTTGGTATATCATAGAGAGTGAGTGCACCTTCGCCATTGCAAACGATTTTGATCTATGTCACCTATGGTCGAATACTAGCAGCCTACTCTTACCGTCAATGTTTCACTGCCATAAAGTAGGACGGAACGAACTGCTGAGCAGTAAACCCGTCCTTGGGCTGCCAGACTGTTATCTCGCCTACTACATAAGTGACGAAAGTTGGCGAAAGATAGACGAGCCTTCTGTAACCGTGCTGAGATTTCGTCATACACCAGACCACAAGGGCTGATGAGACTCCCAAGATAAGTGAAGCGGTCAACACGCCCAACTACCTCACTCCCTATCATTAGTTCAGGTGTCGATGCAACCCAATCCTGAAGTAACATTTTGCACTTCGAGGAGGAGAATCACACGCCTGCATTGTTGCTTATAGTGGTCAGAAGACTCTGCATTTTGTCAGCGTCTTCACCGAAAAAAACGATGTCGTCGGAGTGTTCTAAGTCAACAAGTGAGTCTCTCGGTAAAAGTTCAACTCCAGGAGATTGAGATGATGAAAGTGCTATCCCTAAAAGTATGTCAACGACAAAGTTAAACAAGAATGGGGAGAGTGGACAGCCCTGACGAACACTACTTGAGGTAACCAATTCTGATGACAGTTCGCTATAGGCTCTAACTCGACCAGTTGTGTTCGAGTAGAGAGCCTGTATAAGGCTAATGTCAATCAGTCAGCTACAATGTAAGACCAGGCACATATATGCATCGGTCCAAGTTGCCATACCTCGTTAGCACAACAAGATGAACACCAGATTCATAGTAGTTAATTTAGTGTTGGTAGTAGTATATAAATTATAGGTTGTATATAAGGATATAGTATAGGAAGGAAGAGAGATATGAAGCAATTTTAGTCTCAAGGTTTAAGGGAAGATAAAGAGTGTATACACCTACGCCATTGTGATCGATTATGAGCCATGTCACACAGAGTCTACAATCATTGGTTACGATAGTCACGCGGACCCCAACCAGGTAGTCTGCATCTGCCAACATGGCTCAGACTAGAAGTTAGTGACTTCAAACACTGATGCCATGTTTTGGTTTGGCCGCCCCTAACTCTCTTCCAACCGTCCCCAATACTAGTCATCATAGCGCGTCGTGGTAATCGGTGTTCAGGCATACGTAACACATGGCCCAACCATCTCAGTCGATGAAGATTCATCACCTCATCAACTGATTTACCATCGTTACCTAATACCCTGCGTCTAACCTCACTATTACTTACCCGGTTATCCCAGCAGATGCGAGCAATATTTCTAAGGCATCTGTGGTCAAATACTAGTAACCTATGAGTATCTTCTACTCTTAATGGCCATGTTTCACAGCCGTAAAGTAGAACAGAGCGAACTGCTGCGCAGTATACTCGTCCCTTAATTGATAGACGGATATCTCGTCTTCGCCATAGGTGACGTAAGTTGGCAGAAGCCAAACGAGCTTTTTGAATCCGTGTTGAGATTTTGTCAGACACCAACCCATTAGGGCTGATCAGACTTCCAAGATAAGTGAAGTTGTCGACGCGTTCGACTACTTCACTCTCTATCCTTAGCTCGGGTGTTGACGCAGGCCAGTCCTGGAGTAACAATTTACATTTGGATGGGAAGAAACACATCCCAAACATCCTGGCATTATTACTGAGTTCCAACAGAAGACTCTGCATTTTGCCAGCGTCTTCACTAAACAGGACTATGTCATCTGCGTATTCTAAGTCGCTTAGTGGTCCCCCTGGTAGGAGATCAATTCCTGTAGATTCAGTCGAAGAGTGACATTTCCAGAAACAGGTCTATAATGAAGTTAAACAAAAACGGGGATAGTGGACAGCCTTGACGGACACCACTTGAGGTTGTAAAATCATATGACAGTTCGCCATAAGCTCTCACTCAACTAGTTGCGTTCGAGTAAAGAGCCTTCACAAGGTTTATGTACTTCTCAGGTACACCTTTCAATGACAGACACTGCCACAGAACCTCTCGGTCTACAGAGTCAAATGCTGCTGTCAGGTCAAGAAAAACTATCATTGTCGGACGCCGATAAGCGTGTCTGTGCTCTAAAACTTGACGAATGGTGAATATGTGGTCGATACAGCCACGACCAGGTCTGAAGCCAGCCTGATTTTCTCGTGTTTGCAGTTCACGAGTCTTAGGCGCCTGATAATTATTGAGGCTAGTATTTTAGATGCTATGTTAGTCAGACTAATCCCTCTATGGTTATGGCAGGATGATTTTGACCCCTTTTTATATATTGGGACAATCAGTGATTGTGACCAGTCGGATGGGATTACATCCGTCTCCCAGATTTTAGCCAGAATATTAGTCAACCTAATCGCTAAAATTGGACCACCATATTTAAAGACCTCTGGAGCCAATCCATCTGGACCAGCTGCTCTTCCTCGTTTCAGATTACCTATATCCTTTTGAACTTTAAGTAGGGTCGGGGGGCCTACTTCAATGTTCCATTCAGGTTTGCTAGGAATAGTGGGTAGTAGTGCAGTAGCTGAAGGCCAGCTAAACTGTTCCTTAAAGTGTTCCGCCCATCGTTCTAAACGTTTAGGTTGAGAGCAGATAAGGGTTCCGTCTTTTTCGGAGATTGTCTCACTTACACTGGACTTCTTAATTCCGGTTTCTTTTATTAGTCTGAATAGTTGCCTGGTGTTGCCTACAGGTTAATGTACTTCTTTGGTACCTCTTTCACTGACAAACATTACCTAAAATCTCACGATCAACGGAGTCAAATGCCGCCTTAAGGTCAAGAAATACTACAATTGTGGGGCGTCTGAATGTATGTCCTGACCTGACGTAGAGTGAATATCTGGTATATACAACCACATCCAGGTCGAAAACCAGCCTGGTTTTCTCTAGTCTGCTCTTCACGAGCTTTGGTTAGGCGTCCTAGCATTATTAAAGCTAATATTTTAGACACTATATTAGTCAAACTGATTCCTCTGTGATTGTCACAAGAGGATGTTTGTCCTTTCTTATAGACTGGCACAATCAGTGATTGGGACCAGTCAGATGGAATTACGTTCAGTTCCCAGATTCTACCTAAGACCTCAGTCAATCTCGTTGCTAGTACTGGACCACCATCCTTAAATATCGCAGGGGTAAACCTGTCAGGGCCTGCGGCTCTCCATCGCTTTAGATTTCCTATAGCTTTATCAACCTCGAAGAGAGTTGGAGGACTTACATCAATTCGCCATTCAGGACGACTGGGGGTCGTGGGTAACTGAAGTGTGGCTGAAGGCCAGTTGAACTGATCCCTAAAGTGTTCTGCCCATCGATCCAATCTCCTGGATTGAGAATGAATGATATGCCCATACCGGTTTCTTTAACAAGTCTGAATAGTTGTCTGCTGTTACCTATTGCCGCTGCCTTTTCCATCTCTCTTGCTTTCACTACCCACCACTGTTCTCTGTCATTGCGTAGGCTTCT